GTCATTCGTTTCTAGTGAGATTGTGTGGCTTCGGGCTCTTCTCGATGATATTGTAGATAATGTCAATGCCATTGAGGTCGCCTCTGGTCCTGTATTTTGTGAGCGCACTAAACACATAGAGGTCAATTTCCATTAACTAATTGGACATTCTACATATGAAATGACAGTTTCATTTATTGACAAATAACAAAAACGGTTAGCTGGGGAATACTTTTATGTGGACCAAATTACCCTCGGTTATTAAACCCACCCATGACCATTTCTATTCATCTCTCTCAATCTCGTTCCCTCGCTCTTCCTCATTCACTCATATGTGATGAAGAAACAACAAATACTGCTTCATTACAAGATCGGAGCACTGTGCAAATGACACTGAATCCATGAATTAACAGGCTTTTTTTTTGAAAAATTTTCCATTTTGTTCTCAGTTTTCACTGCCTTCCAAGTTCCTAAACTTAGAAAAAAGAAGGGTCTACAGCAACTCTGTTCAAATTTCCCAATCTCAGGGGTAAGCCAGTAATCCATTTCAATACATGTCATGCAATCATTATCGATTATCTGATTTTGAATCATTGATAAAAGTCCAAATTAAAAATTGAAAAAAAGAAAGAAATACATAGAAACGCAACACAGGCTAGTCCATTCTTTTTGTCAGGAAGGATGGAAAGAAGGGTGTGGTATGTAAGTTGGATCTAGAAAAAGGCATATGATTTGGTAGATTGGGATTTTGTAAGGAGAGTTATGATCAATTTTGGGTTTGGGGCTAGATGGTGCAAATGGATTATCGGGTGTGTTCGGAATTTTCATTATTCTATACTTGTGAATGGGACAGTGGTAGATTTCTTTCCAGCGAGTAGGGGTATAAGACAAGGGGATCCCCTATCTCCATTCTTGTTCACTCTGATTGCTGATGTTCTGGGGAGATTGATTTATAAAGCAGAATCTAGGGGTCTCATTAGAGGATGGAGAGTTGGAAGGGAGGAAACCACTGTCACCCATTTATAGTTTGCAAACGACACAATTCTGTTCTGTGAAGGGGGAAACTTGGATTATATTAGGAACATGAAATTGGTGATACTACTTCTTGAACAAATGTCAAGCTTGAAGGTGAACTTTGAAAAGAGTTGTGTTGTGGGTGTGCACTTGGAGGAGGGAGAGGTTAGGGAGAGTATAGAAGAGCTAGGGTGTGAGGTTTCAAGGTGGTCATTGAATTATTTGGGGTTGCCTTTGGGTGATAATCCAAGGATGGTGAGTTTTTGGAATCCGATGGTGGAAAGATTTGAGAAGAGACTTGTCTCTTGGAAAAAGAATTACTTCTCTCTTGGAGGTAGGATGTCACTGATTAGGGCTACTCTAGCAAATTTACCCATTTATTTCCTTTCAGTGTTTAAAATCCCAGTAAAGGTTGCTAATAGATTGGAAAAGATGACGAGAGACTTCCTTTTGGAGCCCGGTGAGGAGAAGAGGGACCATAGGGTAAGCTGGAAGGTGGTAAGCAGGAGTAAAAACAATGGTGGGTTAGGGCTTGGAAATATTAGAGAAAGGGATTTGGCTCTTCTAGGGAAATGGTTGTGGAGATTCCCACTAGAGAAGGAGAAATTATGGGCTAAAATAGTGGTAAGCATACATGGGCTGGAACTTAACGGATGGGATGCTGGAATTCATGCTAGGACCACAAGCGCTTCGACTTGGAAAGCCATTCATGATCTATTACCAGCCTTTTCCCCTTTTATCCGGTATGATATGAATTCAGGTACTTCCATAAAATTCTAGGAACAAACTTGGGTGGGGATTGGCCCTCTAAAGGACCAGTTCCCTTCTTTGTATGTCCTATCTGTTTTGAAGAATGTGCCAGTTTCTTCTTTCATTACCCCTCCCTCCTCTAGTTCCGGGTTTGGTTGGAATTTGGGTATGAGAAGGGCTATGAGAGATTCAGACCTTGATAGCATTTCGAGTCTCCTCCAACTTCTTGATGATGTTTTCTTAGATCTTGTTGAGACTCTAGAATCTGGATTCCCACCCCTACTGGCTCCTTTTCTTGCGCCTCATTCTTTAAAGTGTTAACCCAATCCACCAGTCATGTAACCTCTCCCCCCTTCCCTGTTAATGAGGTTTGGTGCAGGCCAATTCCTCCTAGGGTTGGTTGTTTTTGCTGGAAAGCCTTTCTGGGAAGAATCAACACTGGTGATTTGCTCCAAAAGAAGAAACCCAATACTTGTTTGTCCCTTCATTGGTGTGTTCTTTGTAAAGCTGATAGGGAAACTGGTTTTCATCTACTGGTGTCTTTCCAATTTGCAAAATCTATTTGGGAGTGGGCTCTCTCTTTGTTTGGGTGTACTTGGAATCCTCCATCAAACTTGCAAAGTCTTTTCGCTCCTTTTTTTAGGTGGTGTATGGAAAGGGGAAGGACTATGTGGAGAGGATTGATGGCAGCAGTTTGTTGGTCTCTATGGGAAGAAAGAAACTCCAGGATTTTCTCGGAAGCAGCGTGAAGTTCTGAAGATCTGAGGGCTCTGATCCATATAAGGGTTGTACATTGGATGAAATCCCTAGAGCTATTCAAAGATTATATAGTGGACGATATGTTGAGGAAGTGGGGTGAGGTTGCTAGCTGAACCCAAGAATGGGGTTGTTTCTGCCATGTTCTCAGGCCCAATTGGAGTGGGTGACTCTCAGAGCTGAGATCCAAGCAGTTATGGTTGGAGTTCAGAAAGCTAGGGAGATGGATATTAGGAAACTCATAATTGAAGGGGATTCGGAGGTGGTGGTAGGTTGGCTGAATAAAGATGACAGTGGTTTATGGAGTTATAGCAATGTGAGGAGGAAATTCAGATGGCTGACTCGAGAAATGGAAGTTAAAGTTAGATGGGTTAAAAGATCAGCTAACTCTTTTGCTGATGGGTTAGCTAAACAAGGGGTGGACAGGGTTTCAATGTTCTGGGCACATATGTAATTTAATTTTTCTTTTTTCCTTTTTCTCTTTCTCTCTTGTTTCCTTTCTTGGGGCTCAAGCTATTTTTGGAAGATAAGAAAGTTTGTCTTCCTCTTTGTAATTTTATTGTGATAATTAATGAATTGTGTTATTGATAAAAAAAAAGAAAGGAAAATGATGGATTATAAGTGACAATTCTTACATTTATCAAGAAAAAAGTGAAAACATTTAAAGGACGACCACAATATAGGTGCAATAGAATGTAAAAATGTGAAAACTTTTCTTTAGAATGTAAATATGCAGTAGAACTAGAGCCAAGGATTTCTTCCTGGCAAAGAGAGGTTTAAGACAAGGGGACCCTCTTTCTCCTTTCCTTTTGGCCCTGATAGTTGATGTGTCGAGTGTACAGATTACTAGAGCCGATGCTAGAAATTTGCTTAGAGGGTGGAGAGTAGGGAGGGAGGAAATAGTTGTAACCCACCTTCAATTTGCTGATGACTTGATCCTTTTTTGTGAAGGAGAACCGGAGGAGTTGGAAAATTTAAAGGTCTTGGTAGAGAATTTTGAAAAGGTCTCCAACTTGAGAGTAAATTGGAATAAAAGTTGTGTAGTTGGAATTAATAGGCAAGAAGTAGAGGTGGCATCTTTGGCTAGATCTCTAGGTTGTGAGGTAAGTGATTGGCCTCTTAAGTATTTAGGCTTTCCTTTGGGAGGAAACCCGAGGTCAGATAGTTTTTGGTACCCAGTTTTGGAAAGATTCTCAAAAAGACTAGCGGGTTGGAAAAGGAACTACATCTCTTTAGGGGGTAGAATCATTCTAATTAAGTCAACACTAGCAAATTTGCTAGTGTATTTTTTGTCTACCTTCAAATTGCTTGTTAAGATTGCAAACCAGATTGAAAAAATAATGAGAGATTTTTTGTAGGAACCTGGAGATACTAAAAAGGTCATAGGCTAAAATGGGAAGTGGTGTCTAGAAAGAAAGACAAAGGGGGCTTAGGAATTGGAAATATTAGAATAAGAAACACAACTTTGTTAGGCAAATGGTTATGGAGGTTTCCTAAGGAGCAAGGGAGTTTATCGCATAAGGTGATAAGAAGTATTCATGGAATGGCAGCAAATGGATCAGACACTGGACTCGACCCAAGGGCTTCGCACTTTTCCCCGTGGAAAGATATTGTTGGTATCTTGCCTGTCTTCTCTCCTTTCATCAGGTATGATGCTTGCGTGGGTAATAAGATTCTTTTTTGGGAGGACTTGTGGATTGGGGAATCTCCCCTTAAGGATAGATTCCCGAACCTATATTCCCTTTAGCAATGGCATCAATACAGATGTGGGCCAATCCATATAGAAGCTGGAGTGTCTCTTTTGCATGTGAATGGCGAGTGTATATATGTGAATCCAAAAAGTCTTGCCGTGAAATGTGCTTGAATACATGCTACGTGGAGGGCACTATGTGCTATTTCTTGGAGAATTAAAAAGAAAAATTCATAAAAAAAGGATAAAATTAGGAGGGGGTAATGGAGCAAGGAGTGGCCATGTTCATATGACGCACTTTTCTTTATGTATATAGTATAGATGTTGATTTATATCTTCTTTGTTACTTTGATTAGATTGAGAGTCCTCTCCTCTAGTTGTTTGTCTTTTTCTTTTTTTAGTTATAGTGACTTAGTAAGTGCATCACATTCACAACAGTAAGCCAGTCATCCAATCACAAAATCCCCAATTGTTCATTCAGGAAAAATTTTCAATGATTTAATGAAATGTTGAAAGGTTTCAAAGATATTCTAAAATTTTAAATCTTAATTTTTTAGTTCATCAACATCGTTCAAAATATCTCCTATTTATAGCTGATATATTGACAATGAGGGAAAAATAAAGGTTCTTGGAATATTCCTATTACCCCTCGCAAAATGGGGAGATTTCGCCTAATCTCTTTAATATTATGAATTGTGGTCGGAAGAACATTTTCTTCTATACTCCTACCCAAAGAGTTAATCCTCCTTGACATCTTGTTTTGATGTTTCTATTTCATTCTGTGCTTAAGTCAAGATACATCTGTGTGCAGAAATTGCAAACGGTGATGAACAAGTCAAAGCTGATGCAATACGAATTGGCAAATATGTTGATGGACAGTTTCCTACTGACAGCAAGGAATTTGCTAATCGTATATTTTATACAGTATTTATGGGAACTGAAAATAGGTAAGGACATGGATTCATAATTAGGGACTTCCATTGCTGATATATTTGGACATAACCTTGTTCTAATGAATTAAAAAGGTTCTTGATCAATACTGAAAAGCTTCATTGAGAAGTAGAGAAGAATAATGAATTTGATTAGACTTTATGTTTCTCTGAACCTTTTCTATGCTTATATATATGTGTATATATATATATATATATTAAGGTTCTAACATGCTGATACTTGTGTCTTATATTTTGTTATCAACAAAAGTGAACTGCTAACGAATTTTTACAAGTGCATTTGTAGCATTGTGAGCTCAACGACTTATCCCATTTCTTTTGGTCAAACCTGCAAATCAACTATTAAGAGTTTGCCACTTTTGAAATGATCAATAACAAAAATTACTTTGGGTCCTTTGCAGTTCAGAGGCGACAAAGTCCAGGGCAAAGGTCCTAGCAGATGAGATTGGCTCATGGCACCTTGATGTTTGTATAGATAGTATTGTTTCTGCCTTGCTGACCTTGTTCCAGAAACTGACGGGAAAGTGGCCACGCTACAAGGTAAATAAAATTCAACTGCTAAACATATATAGTCCATCTTGGGTAGGCCGTAACTATAAAACATATAAATTAGTTCTTAATTGTCTAATGTACATAGGAGTGATTTAATCTTCACAAATTTCGAGCTATAAGATATCATAAATTTAATCTTGCATTTAATACAAGACAACCAAATGGGTGATGAATACAAAATAATTTTACTATGTGTTTTCTACCTAGAGGGTTCAAGTTCCATGTGGCTGCACAGTATTTTTTTTCCAGAAAAAAAAAGGTTCTCTGCACATAATATGCATGCATGTTGATTCAAACAAAAATATCCAAGTTATTTGCTCACAACCATGTAAATCCATGGAAATAGGTCTAGTGGGCTCACAACAAGCATTAGGCCTATTGTTTATAATGGGTCACCTTAAGTGGAAATTGCATTCAAGTTTCTTCTATAAAGGGGAGACTTGTCTTGTAGAGCAATCAAATAACAAGAAAAAGTACAAAAACAAATAAGAAAAGAGGAGAAAATCAGTAGTAGAAGAGAAGAGTGAGGAAAAAAAATGGAGAAAAACCTCAATATTGTATCCTGCTATCACAAGGTTAAAGTAGTCATGAAATTCCCTATTGTATGAATGATTTAACAGACATTCTGTCTCTTGACCGACAGTAACAATCGCATTATGGGATCTTATCAGGATATGACGAAGAGGATATCAATTGATCAATTTTGTATGACGTTAGGTGCTTGACCAATATGCCAAAAGCATTAAGACTGTTGGAATGCATCAACCCAAGCAATTTAACATTTAGGAACGTAGCATATGATGTCCATGTTATGCATTGCATAAAACTGTAGCATTTCTCATGTAACAAGTACACTTCTATTAGACTAATGCAAGAGATAAGGATGAAAGTGAGATGGATACCATGAAAAGCTAATGGATTCACAGATGATTTGGCAAAGCAAGGGGCACTAAGGGAGCAATTATACTGGAGACGAGGCTGACTTTCATCAAGGGGATTTGCTCTTGATATAATCTACTTAATCTGAATATTAAATAAAATTTCTTTTATTACTCATCAAAAAGTACACGTCTATTGAAAATAAAATTTCTAATATGAGAGAATGGGCTTAATTATGAGCCCATGAAATGCAATAACTCTAAGATTGTTAATTAGAGTCCATTAGATTTAAGAGGTGTTTTATACTGGTTTTCCCTCTCTGAGTGGCAGGTGACATGTCTTTCACCCCTTTCACCCATGGGAGGGAGTTAGTTACATAACCACCTCAATCCCTATTTAAGCTCCTTGTAGGGAGGTTACGACCCTCTCCTCCTTTGAAGAAAAGATTTGTTAGAAAATCACACTCTTAGAGTCTTGAAGAATTCCATAGTGAAAAGAGAAGAAAAGGAGAAGTCTTGTGGAGAAAAGGAAAGCAGGAATAGGGAAGAAAAAAGGAAAACACTACTCATAGATAGGTGAAGAGAAGTCCTTTACAAATATCTCCAAAATATGTCTTCTATTTATGTATTTTTCTCCTGTGTTTCATTGAATTTCCAAATTTTACTTGTAAGAAAGGAAGTGGAGGAAAAGAAACCATCTACAATCAAGTACTTCTACTTGGTTGGTTATGGTTCCTCTACCAAAGCAGGCCAGGTATCTACAACCTTGTTCCCAATGGCTGATTATGGCTCCCTTCAAATGCATATATGAAGATTGGAGAAAAGAGGGATAAAAATCGTCCACAGTCTAATGTCTAATCTAACTGATTATGGTTCCCTTTCGACATATAACATCCAGAAGAGTGGTGCCATCTATTATAGGATTTTTATCTGGTTGATTATGGCTTATTGTGAAGAAAAATGAGTGGAAAGGAAATGTTTGTATAAAAAAGGGGATGCAAATGTGATGTTGTAAAATTTCTCAATTCTTTTTTTTTGTATTTTTCTTTTTCATTCCTGTAAAGTTGAGATATATAAATAAATGTAAATGGATCTCTTTTTTAAAAAATTCTCCATTTTTTTCATATTTATTTGTTCTGTAATTCATTTCTCCAAGATAGAATCAAAGGGTGATTTCTGCTCCCTTGCAGAGATATAATAAGGAGAAACATCCATATGATTGCCTGAATGGGCCTTACCCAAAAAATAAGAAACCAATCATTCAATTTCTTAAAATTTTCTTCATTCCATAAGTGTCTTATATATTGCAGTCAGACATGCAATCCATTCTAACACATTCATATAAATCTTATCAAACATTTAGCTCTCAAATACAGACACAGAATCTCAGCATGTATAGAGTTGCACTTGATAGTGGAATGATGAAATAAAATTTGTGCAGCAAGGCCCATGATGGGCTATCATTTGAAAAGTTGTTGTCTTTGATATACAGGATAAATTGTGTGGACATGGTGGCATATCTTGGATTGATTTGTCTAAACCTTCATGTCTCTAATATGTGACACTTGTGGATTTAGTTAAATATTCTTAAGCTACTGGATTTGATAACTCTGGAGAAACAGTTGATATAATGACATTACACTTATTTATTTATTTTTTATTATAATAGTAAACTACGTATTGTCAAATCCATCTAACTTACTAAGCATTGTTTTATTTTTTTATTGGAGATTAGTTATTCAAGAAATTTTGTTTTCATTCACAGACCTGCTTAGTTTAAATCATAATAGCTGTATGCTGAACTTTTGTTCAGTTGCAACATATTTTAAGTGTTGTTAGTTGTACCTGTAGTTGTATTGTTCAGCATGAGGAGATTCATCTTAAATTGGTATTCAACCAAGCTTTTATGCACGCAGGTAGATGGTGGATCAGATGCTGAGAACTTAGGGCTGCAGAACATTCAAGCTCGAATTCGGATGGTGTTGGCATTTATGTTAGCATCACTTATGCCATGGGTTCACAAGAAAGGAGGATTTTATCTTGTTTTGGGTAGCTCCAATGTGGATGAAGGATTGCGTGGTTACTTAACGAAGGTAATACCACAATGCTTCAATGTCTTCAGTCAGACTCAGACAGTACACATATGCCAAAGTACATTAAATCTGTTTTGGATTTTGTGAATTCATTTATGCAATAACTTGATCCAACTCTCAAGTTGATAAAATTACATCCTTAGGTACTAGGTTGTGTATTTCAGCTTTGGCCTATCCTTTTGGCTCAACTCAACACTTGATTGAGTCAACTTATCAAATCCCTGCTGATGCTGAAATAGAATATCATAATCCTAATTATTAGAAGCAACCCATATTAATCTTCTATGGATTTGTTGATGGGGTCCATGATACGGATGGTTATTATCTTGTCCACTAAGCAGAGACTAAAATCTTCTTGGTGCAGTACGATTGCAGCTCAGCAGACATTAATCCGATTGGAAGCATTAGTAAGCAGGATCTTCGAACATTTTTGCGATGGGGTGCCACTCATCTTGGCTACTCATCTTTGGCCGAAATTGAAGCAGCTCCACCCACTGCTGAATTGGAGCCTATACGGTCCAATTACAATCAGGTAAACATCTAGCACAATGCAAGTGTTTCTATCTGTAACTATTTTCCTTTATTCAAATATCTGGATCAGAGCCATTGCCAGAGAATATCAATAACTATGGAGAATTATCTGTTTACATTCGTCATATCCACATTAAATCTGTTAGTCTTTTCCCTTTTTTCCTTTTCACTATTTACATATCCACTTCTAATATATTATGCATGAGCTAGCTATGTGGAAGTCTGTAATGGTGATATTACCTTCATATATTGGATGAATTTGTCATTACATGCTGGAGGTCTGTTGACTACTGGGTGAAACTAAGAGAGATTTGTGGCCAAAATTTATCAGATTGGATGGTCCTAACCTTTTTATCAATTCACATTTCTTTTCTAGGTGACTCTCCATGTTTTGTGCTGACCTGAATAAAGCTTAGTAGTTATTACCCAATGCTGGCCCCAGCTAGCCAGGGTCTTGGAAGGGGTGGACCAGATGTGGACCTAACCTCTGGCATTTATTAGCATGAAGTGGCCAGTCTCAAGACTCAAATCTTCATTCTTATGCTTGTCAGCCTGAGCAATGGTCACTATATTTTATGCTGAACTCAAGAATTTAATTTATTGGATTAGTAGAATTGTTGAATTAGGTTGCCATCTGCCCAGGAGATCTCATGGAAGGGATCAATTTGTGAACTGCAGCCTCCTAACCCTTGTGAATTTTTTCAGTATAGAGTCGCCTGGATCCACCCGATTGGCACCCCTTAATTTTTCTAATTTGAATCTTTTTTTTTTTTTGCATGGTATGATCCATTTAGGCATCTTCACATAAAGAACATGCAGGAAATTCCTGGTCTGTGGCATTCTTAATTTAATTGGAGAGACAGAAGCTGAGAATGATAAAGTAACTTATCTATCTTCTGTGTAACAGTTGGATGAAGTGGATATGGGAATGACATATGAGGAACTTTCTGTTTATGGAAGATTGCGTAAGATTTTCCGTTGTGGTCCAGTGTCGATGTTTCAGGTTGGTCTTACAAACCCCACTCTCTCTGTGAACTGTTTCATGCTTGTTGAAGTGTGCTGGCCCTCCTACTCAATTAGTGGACAATCCCATTGATCTGGAGCATTCAATCTCTGGAGTACATGCTGGATTGTTTCAAAACTTACAATTCATTTAGCCAGGCAATCTTAAGCCCATGACCAGCCAAAATGCATTGAACATTTATTTCTTTTGCTCGTCTCAGAGGCACTTTGCAATATTCCAATCAGATGGTTATTGTTTGCTCAGTGCATTTTAACTTATGGTCCATAGAAGGAATTTGCCACGGCTTTAAGTCATTTCAGAATCATAACCAGTGAGTACCAATGTTCTGAAACATACTGAATTGATGGTTGAACCATTTGAATGATTACAAGCTCTAAACTAGGTCAGGTAGAAGTTTGGTCTGATATGCAGTCAACTTGGTCAAAGACATTTTACTTTATATTGAAAACTTTTTGAAAATCAATAGTTGGGAAATCGTTTTGTTCAGTATATATAATTTTTCTTATGTTTTTCTTTCTTCCTTTTTTTTTGAACTTTTTCCCATATCTTTATATTCTCATGAACCTGACAAGCAAGTTAGCCAGGCAAGCTACTTGTGCTTGGACCTTGAACTGCCAGCCCTGGTGCTTTGATATCTGTCCCAAGTTTCAGAACATTGGTGATTATGAATTGTGGCATTAAGGTTTGACCTGGCTGTATTTGTCAGTGTTATTAATATTACCTAATTCGTATCAGTTTTTTACATTTGTGTTGGGTCTCAGTTTTAGTTTTCTTGTTATATTTGTCACAATTATTCCAGCTTTTTCCTTATGTTTGACCAAGGTGCCATTTCGTAACAATTGATGTGGATGAAGTAATAGCTTATTGCTTTGTCTTTTAGTTTTTTAAGGTACTATTTATCATTTTTGAATGCCACAAGTAATCAACTTAGCTACCGAAGGCATGTCATGTATTGATTTTCTATTTGTGATAAATTCTTATGCCTTGATCTATATATGTAGTTTAAATCATTTTTTTTTCAAAACTTTAATAGTAGTGATCTTTCTATTTTATTATTGTACATTGCAAAAAAGATAACATGGTTTCAATTTGGTAGTTCCAATGTACTAAATGTATAAATAAGTAACCTAGTTACAGTTTGGAGTTGTTATAACAGATGCATGAGGATGAGGCGCATTGAGTTTGCCATAATGCATATAATTTTTGTAATATTAGGAACCACATCATTAATCTGTATTAGGGAATTTTCTAATTGATACATTGTTGGTGTGAAAATTTTAATAAATTCTCATGCAACATAATTCACTTAATCAAGTGATTGAGTTTTATTATTTTGGGTAAGGCCCATTCAGGGAATCATACGGATTGTTCCCCTTAATTACATCCCCACAAGAAAGTAGAGAACACCTTTTGATTCTGAATTGGAGAAATGAATGCATAGAACAAAAGAAAAGAACAATAGGATACTTAAAAAGAACTTTTCATTTGCTTTTCTTTTACATCAGGTGTACAAGAATGAGAAGAAAGAAAAWGAAAATACAATTGAGAAACTATACAGCAATACATTTCTCTTTTCTTTAATACAAAGAAAATTTCCTTCTCACTCCTTTCTTCATAATAAGTTGTAGTCAATCAAATTGACTATCTGATTGTAGACGATTTTCATCCCTCTGCTCTTCATTTTCATTTGAAGGAAACCATAATCAGCCTTTGAGATTTAGACTGTAGATGGTTTACTCCCTAATTGTCTTGAAAGAGGGACCATAATCAACCAAGTAGAGGCACCTGGTTGTAGATGGTTTATTCCCCCCTACTCTTCATTTTCATTTGAAGGGAACCATAWTCAGYCTTTRRGAWTTAGAYTGTAGATGGTTTAATCCCTAACTTTGTCTTGAAAGAGGGACCATAATCAACCAAGTAGAGGAACCTGGTTGTAGATGGTTTGTTTCCCTCTTTTTCCTTTCTCAAAAGTAATAACAAAAGAGAGAGAAAGAAGGATACATAAAAGAAGACATAAATAGGAAGTATTCACAGAGAGGACTTTCCTTTTCTCTACCTGTATTAGTGAGACTTTTCCTTTCTTGCCTTCCCTTGAGCACTTCTCTTTTCTTCTCTCCTTATCTTTGCTTTTCTTAAGAATCTCTTGTGAAAATTTTCTCCGAAGAGTCTCTCCGTGTGTCTGTGTTTCCAGCTTCCCCTTAAGGAGCTTAAATAGGGAGTGGGGTGGTTATGTAACTACCCCCTCCTCCTAGGTGAAGGACACCTGTCCCTTCCACTTAAAGAGAGGGAACTCCCCACTTAAAGAGAGAGAACTCCCCACTTAAGAGGGGGAACTCCCATATGGGATACTTTTTTATAATTTTAATGATTTGTCTAGAAGACTAGCTAGCCCACTTATTACAGATTATTTGAATAAAAAAATGACTTCAACATACATGCATTCTTCTTTTATAGATAATAATAGCCATTTTATTAATGATCGATCAAGAGTTACAAAATAAAAACTTCCCACAATGCCCCCTTGAGCATTGTGGGCCCAAAATCCTAGAATATGGGCGCACAGGGCTCAAAAAAGCAGTTAAAGTCAAAATTTATGAAAGTTTTATCATTAGAAAAGAATGAGCCAAAATTGGAAGAATCCTAGTATGATTGGGACTCTTGCAATATCTTTTGTTAGACAAAATCTGATATAATCTAACTATTTGATTGATTTGTTGAGGCTTTATAGTTACTCATCTTGTTAAATTGAGAAGCCCTAGTGCAACTAGGACTCTCGATTTTGTTATGTTTGATGCTATTAATTGTGTGATTTGATTTGAGTATTTGAGGGTTAATCACAGATTTTCACAGTTGGAAGAGTCCTGGTTGAAGTAGGACTCTTTGATTTTATCAAATTTTCTTTGATCCACCCTTAAATCTTGATCCTGAGTTGTTTTTGACCAAGACAATTATTTTGTAGGCTCATAAAATAAGAGTCCTAATTTAAGTAGGATTCGTGGAGGAATCCTGGCTTTAGTAGGGTTTTTTTGGAAATAATCATGTAATTAGTTTTTTTTTTTTTTGGAATAGAAGAGTCCTAATCTGAATAGGATTTTGAATAGGTCTCTTTTTTTATAGTATCCAGTGTGATTTACTCCCTTTTATGGGGCGAAGAAAGGAGGGGGTGCCCTGCCCCGAACCCACCCCATAGCCATTCCCAATCACCATGGCCATTTTCATCTCCCTAATTTTCAGTGCTGTTTTCCCCTTCACCCTAAAGCTCTCGAATAGAAACTGCTTTGCTTTGATCTTCAAAGGTCTTCTCCACGTAGCTGTCTACACAAATTTACTCTCCATTTCAACTTCAAAGGTCTTCTAGAATTCTCCTAGAGTTGACTATCAAATGTAAAAAAAGTAACTATTAATTGATACATGTATTCTTTTGATTGTATTAATTTCTTGTAATGCTCTTTTCTTCATATTAGGTATGGCAATTAAGTGGTTTTAATGATTAACTACTTTAATGATGATTTGATATATAAAGTGTATGTTTCCTATTATTGGTTAATATGTGAAACCATAAATTTGAAGTAAAATAAAAATCAGAGAAATCTAGTACCAAGTACTCAAATTTCCAATCTTATAAAACAGATGCACTTGATGAAGACCTATTGCAACTGTAAGATCTGATGTCTCTCTTACAGGTGTTCTAACACTGATTGTTGCATCCTTATATATACATATATACTTAATCAAGTCCCTAAAGCTATTTGGCACTTCTTTTCCAAAACCCACCATATTATCTCTAAAAACTCTATCATATGCTTTCACTAGATCAGTGTATACCATATGAAGATCTCTCTTCTTCTCTTGATAAGTTTATTTCAATTGTCTCAATTTAAAGATGGCTTCCACGGTTGACCTCCATGGCATAAATCCAAATTGGGCTTCTTCACTTCCACAAGCCAATGGCAGATTTCTGTTCCAACCATATATGTCATAAAAAGCCTAGTTCATCATACAAGCTAGTGATGTGCAACATTCTTGAGTTTGTAGGAGAGATTTCAGATATGTGACATTGGTACTTGGGTTCTATGATGGGCTATTGTTACAGTCCAGCTTCTGTGATATATATAATCAGATCAAATTGCACTCCGAGCTTAAACATCACAAAGAGAAACACTGAATTAGGTTGGCTATGTCTTCAACTTTCCATACTGAAGCCCAAAGGTTCCTGTGACTGGTGCAAGCTATGTTACAGCCAAGCTTCTGTGACATACATGACCAGATCAAAATGCATCCTGAGCTTACTTCACAATGAGAAACTACTGAACCGAGTGAACAATGAATTAGTTAGTGGGTGTCTGGTACTATGTTAAAAGCTGATTCAAGCCAGCCTCAAAATGCACCATGGAGGCCACACATTCTTGGAGGCTGTAGTGTGTGGTGTGTTTTGAAATGAGCTTTAGCTAGTTCCAAAATGCAAAATATCACAAATCTTGGAACATGCTTATTTCTCRTGTTCCAGAATGCACCATAACTTTTTTCAATTGTAGAACATTGATTTAATATAAAAAAGTATTTTTCAAATTCCATTGTCTGGGAACACACCACACCACACCACCATGGTACAGAATGTCACAAGAGGTGTGGTGTGATCCAGAACTTACAATTTCAGACATGCCACAGTGGAGCCCAGTAGCCTTGAATGCACTGCACTTGTTTGACAACACAGTACTGAACATGCCCTTACTATGCATGATTTTATATCTCATCAAAGTAAAGTTCCAATGATTCATTGGTCTCTCTATCAATGGGTTGGTGTGCAAAGCTTGTAGCATTGGTTTATAGGCTGCTTTATATCCTATGCAGTTGAAACCATTGTCTGTTTTGCCTAATTATTTTTCTTGCTTCAGAACCTCTGCTACAAATGGGGTGGAAGATTAACTCCATCAGAGATAGCTGATAAGGTTAAGCACTTCTTCAAGTACTATTCAATCAATCGACACAAAATGACTGTCTTAACACCTTCCTATCATGCTGAGGTATTTTCTTCAGTCTCAAGATAGAGAGGACTTCCCTAAAATGAAGTTTTCTTTCAATGTTGTATTTATAAAACCAGTTTTTTATAGGGTAAATTGCAGATAGGTACCCTGTACTTTGGGGGTAGCTTTCTTTAGGGCCTGAACTTTCAAATGTGCCAGTTTAGTACCTGAACTTCCAGAAATGTACATTTAAGTCCATTTCCGTTAAACTAACGTTAGGTGAGGGATAAAGCTATGAAAATTCCCATAATCTGGTTCTCTTTTTTCCACTGTTCATCTTCTACCTTTAGACTTCAGACACATACTGGTGGCAGCAAAGTAAGCTCACCCCAGTCTGTTCATTGGGTGTAGTCTCACCTTCGGATGCTTACTTTTCTGCTGCTGGTTTGCATTGGAAGTCAAAATGTAGAAGAAAGATGAACAGTGAAAAAGAGTTTAAACATGGTATTTTTGTAATTTTACCCCTCACTTGAACGTTAGTTTAATAGAATTGGACTTAAATGTATATTTCTGGAAGTTTAATTACTAAAGTGGCACATTTGAAAATTCAGGCCCTGAAGTGAGACTGCCCCCAAAGTATACGTTACCTATCTGCAATTTGCCTTTTTTTAGTAATTGAAAATTATTTATTGTTACCATTTGATTCTGTACAGAGTTATTCACCGGAGGACAACAGATTTGACCTTCGTCAGTTTCTCTACAATTCAAGATGGCCATATCAGTTCCGCAAGATTGATGAACTTGTACGCAAGTTCGGTAAGGAAAAATTTTCTGGAGGTGGAATCGGAGTTGTTGCAGCTGGCTCAGATGATCCTAAGGCTGGTCTTTAGGCCAGAATATATAAGTAACTCGGTACATGCATTCACACAACCTAAAATAATTTAGGTACAAAAATTAATTGCCATATTTAGTTATGGGCATAAATTATACTCTTTTGAAGAGGACCACTTGAAAAGGAGTAATGCATCCACAGAAGAGGTCCTGAGAATTCATTTATATTAGTCATTTTTTTCCACATCCGGAAGGTGAAATATGGATCACTCAACAAAACAGATCCCTGATTCATGAAATCATATGTATACGTAAGGTAAAGTTTTTATGTCAACTTCCTTAAATCAGATCTTGTTTGAAAGAACTGCTTTCTTAGTGCCAAATTTTATGAACCATAAAATGCAGTTTGCCCTAGTTTCTATTTGCACTATTTACATTGTAGATGTCTAGTTATTCTATCCTTGTATAGAATAAACTGAGGGTTATCGTGCCACGAGCTTTTAGTATACATATTGGGTTGCTAGTACAAAAGTAGGAAATGGTCTCCTTGGGGTTCCAACTTATTTTATCACTCCACAAAGTAGCAATTGCTCAATGTGCTTTGTCCAACACAAATGCAGCTCGATTATCACCAACAGACAATTTGGATTGCAAATTTGTATTTGCAGAGTCTGGAGCCATGTAAGTATGATGCACCAAGAGCCATTTTTCAGTGGTTTCCTTAAAAGCACGGGGATGGAATCTCTAAGCTTGGATCATCTGCATTTTGAACTTTGAACTTGAAGGAACTTTACCTAAAGCCGACATGAAATTATGCCATATTAGAAACTGCCTCACTATCAATCATACAATTTCCTTAATTTTTGGATGTGGTTGATTTTTGACATGCTTATCTTTTGTTATCATTGTCTTTATTTGCATCTTGTCTATATCTGTGTTGAAAATTCGATTGCCCAAGAGCTGACCTGCAAGGCACACCATGAATGAAAAGTTGCTTTGCCTTATTGTTATCAGCTCTTGTATGATCTTCAAATCCTTTAGGTCGCTACTCCCCAGGAATTCGGTGCTCATGTCAAATCCAAATGTTGGTTTGGTGTTCCTAATGCTGCGTTTGGAAACAATGCAAATATGTATAGTGTAAAATGGTTCATATAAATTGCAAAATTGGGTTAGTTTTACACTGACAAATTTATCTCTTACCAAACAGATTTTAACTGTAATGGATGCAAACATGAATTCCAATAAAACATATGCTTTTTTTTTATCAAAAGCCCACTTGAATGCAAATTTACTTCTTTTTTATTGATGTATTTTTACATCTTATTATCAATGTAAATATGCATTGGTCTGTCATTTGTTAATGCATAAATGTAATGTTACCAAACACAGGCAGAAGTGAACCAGAGTGCATATTTACCCTGAACTGGGATTTACACTCCATTTACATTGTTTCCAAACGCAGCCTAACAAAATTTTTTCCACTGGCCTCCAACAAATATGTGAAGCACATTTAAAGAACTAATCTGGTGGATAGGTAGAATATGCATGCCAACAGAGATGGAGCATAATTATGATAAAACCTTTCTAGTAAATTTCCCTAAAAAGAAAGGAAATTCAGGGCTTGTTTGTTTCTTCTTAATTCTTACTTCTCAAGATGAATCTTGCAACTTTAAGAGGAAGGCGACAAAATGGTTGTTTGTTTCCTCTAATCTCTTAACTCTTAAAATGTAATCTTATATTTTTTTGTTTTCTAATGATACCCCTAAAACCCAAAACACTTCTCCTTTCTTATAATTCAAGGGGTAAACTACAAAATCCTCCCCTAAACTTTCTCTGACAATCATAAAAATCTCCCCTATAGTTTCACTTTAATAAAAACCTTCCCGCTATTTTTAAAAAAATTGACAAAAACCTCCATTCCGTCAATAATCATGGCAGAAAATGTTAAAGCCATGATCAAATCTTGGAAGAATCATTTGGGTTTGTTACAAAAGGTTCTGTAGATGAAGAACATCGGCAGCAACCCACGTTCGTGGTTCTAGTCAATCCGTCGATCAAAGTTTGCGGTTCATTGGAATTCCGTTCGACGAGAGTGAGAGCCATACATCGATGCAAGACTTGTGACAAGACGGTTCCTACATTTATCTCATCGGAAACTAGGTGGATGTTCTAACCCACAAAGCTAAAATGTCAAATTAAAGAGAAGGAAGTAATTTTTTTACAAAATCATTAATTTAAAAACCAGCAAAAATTCCAAAACATGTATCACGATCAACTTTTTCACCACAAGCATTTTTTAAGAAAAAAAAAAGGAAATTACAGAGAACAAAATACTATTCTTCCATCTCTAATCATCCAATTCCCACCCCAATCACATTTATATTTTACAATATCTTAGAATTTTAACACCTCCAATCCCCAGAAAAGAAGAAAAACAAAAAAAGGAGAGATAGAGAAAGAGATAGAAGCTACTACGAGCAGTGAGATCACAACATTTGTGATTCACTTCAATTGGTAATAGGAGTTCAGATTGACATCAATGTGATCACACAATTGGTGATGTACTCTAAGTGGTGTTGGAGTGCTAGCGGGCTCTATTCTTCTCAACATGAGCCTTGTCGACTTTTGCGACGGATCATCGTTGTGGTAGACGAATGCGAAGCTGTTGTGACGGGTCAAATCCAACTGTCACGGGGGTAGATCTACAACGGAAGAAACCCGTGTAGCGTCAAAGCCAAGGCCAGCCATGACAAGCTTGATGCATGCTTAGGGCTAGGAGTTGCCCGATGAGATGGCTCCACCAACGTCAGTAGCACTAGATCATGACCTCAAGGCTCATGGCCAGGGCACTCTGTTGGCTCTTGCTGGTCCATGAGGCACCACTTACGTGCTAAAGGGGGATGGCCATGATGAGAGGCAACTTGGCATCGATGAGAGGGGCTCTTGTATGCCGGTAATGTAGGCACCCGTTGTGCCGATGATGATAGGCAACCGTTGGGCTGGAACACACCCGTGTGCTAAGGGCAACGGGATAGCTCAATCAGATTGGGCAAGGGGTTGACGAGGTGTAGGGACATGCTTAGGCCAGGCCCACATGCCAATCTCATCTTCACCAGATATCCTTAGCAAATTCAATCTATGTAGCGCATAGAATAGAGGACCCACAGTGGCACGGACCCACCCAATGATCACCAAAATTTGAATAATGTGAGCTGCCGGGAGCTTTCCAAGTCGACCCATGAACAACCGGTATGGCCTCCTCGTTGCATAGACCTCCTCGACATATGCCTTCCTTACAAACAATGCCGCGAATATGATCCCCCAGGCTCCACAACCACCATGCAATTGTGCTGCCTCAAGTGGGTCGTCATATTTGTACTTGGTGAGCCTATTGCATCTAATCAAGACCCAAGTGGTGACGAACCCGCAAATGATAGCAGCCCACGACTCCACCACTAAGTAGCCGGCGGTGATGGCCGTGAACCCCTCAAGCAACCCGTTGTAGATGTCGGTAATGTTCCAATTTCCGAGCTAGTCTGTCACTACAAAGCGAGGTCGCAAGAGTCTCACTTCTGTTGTTGTTGCTGCTCCAGTTCCCGAGGCCGTCTATGATTTGATGTTGTTGCGAAGCTGGTCCATCTGTGTTTTTACCCCTTAAACTGGACACTTATGAGACTCGTGTTAGTTTAGAATGTTCTCAGCCATTGGATAGACTTGGGGAGTTTGTCCTACCAAGGCTAACACTAATACGTTGTCAAAGAAGTTGAGACAGCTTGCCTCAGTTGCTAGGGTTAGACCCGAAGCATATGTAGTATGTGTTTGTTTGAAGCATTGAATCCAGACCATTTTCTAGTTATGCCCTGAACCTTGGAGACTGATGGGCAAAACTGAAAATTTACACATAACCCCTAGACTTGATTATGGTACTACAGTGAGTATAGGATCATGCTATCTTTGATATACCAATCAGTAGATCCTTTGGGGATCAAAACCTAGGTATATTGGGGCAGTCTAAGAATTCACTTTAGTGGGTGACCATAGTGATAAGATCAGCCCCTTTGTCGGACAAAGAGAATGATTAGGGAGTGCACTCTCTTTGATGGAAACCAAAACTACTTGTAGTCGATTTCAACCGTGTTTGAGATTTGTTTTGCAATATATATATATATATACATTGACACGATAGTCAATAGATGCAACATAGAGAATTCCAAGAAGGGATTTGTTGTTTTCAGATACGGAGTCACTCTCTCCAAGGGTATGTCTCTTAAGACCCCTGAGGAGATTGAGGGCATGAGAGGGGTTTCCTATGCCTCAGCCGTATGGAGCATCATGTATGTCATGTTGTGCACTCGGTCAGACATTGCTCAGGCCGTGAGTGTGGTAAGTAGATATCAGTCAAACCCAGGATAGGAGCACTAGAGTGCTATGAAAAACATATTTAAATACCTTCGGAAGACTAAAGAATTTTGTCTTGTCTTCGATGGTAGTTTACTACAGATGGTCGGGTATATTGATGCCGACTTCCAATCAGACCCAGATGATAGAAACTCTACATCTGGTTACATCTTCACGATGGTCCACAACAGATTCCATGACCGAGGCCGAGTATATTGCCGCAAGTGAAGCTGCCAATGAAGCAGTTTGGAAGAAGAAGCTCATCTAGCAATTAAGAGTTGTTCCATCCAGCACATCACCCATTCCACTGTTGTGCGACAACACTAGAGCCATTGCTTAGGGTAAAGAGCCAAGAGCCCACTCGATGTCAAAGCACATTGAGAGGAAGTATCATGTACTCCGGGAGATTGTTGGTAGAGGGGACATCTAGATTAAGAATGTAGCATCAACTGAGAATGTGGCAGACCCATTAACCAATCCATTGACACAGAAAGTTCGAGAAACACGTGGATAGTATGGGACTGAGGCTTGTACCAGATTGGACCTAAGTGCAAGTAAGAGCTATTAGATAGTGTATGCCCTTAGCTCCAATCAGATTGATGTACAGATACATTTATTATAAATGAATCAAAGTACATAATTGTTTCATGTTATCATTGGTGTGTTTCTGTGTTTTTACCCCTTAAACTGGACACTTATGAGACTCGTGTTAATTTAAAATGTTCTCACCCATTGGATAAATTTGGGGAGTTTATTCTACCAAGGCTGACACTAATGTGCTGCTAAAGAAATTGGGGCAGCCTATCTCGGCTGCTAGGGTTAGACTCGAAGCATATGTAGTGTGTGTTTGTTTGAAGCATTGTACCATGACCATTTTCCAAATATGCCCTGGACTTTGGAGACTAATGGGCAAAATTGGAAAGTTACACATAACCCCTATACTTGATTATGGTACTACACTGAGTGTTGGATCGAGCTTTCTTTGATATGCCAATCAATGAGATCCTTCGGGGATCAAAACCTGGGTATGTTGGGGCAGTTTGAGAATTCACTTTAGTGGGTGATCATAGTGATAGGCTCAACCCCTTTGCTAGACAAAGTGAATGATCAGGGAATACACTGTCTCTTATGGAAACCAAAACTGTTGGCAGTTGATTTCAA